AAAGACAATATATTTACTGAGGAGGTCATTCCTTCCTCAACACACATTCACAAGCTTGAAATGTATTTTGGGACACCCCCCCCCCCTTAGGCCCCTCTTCTCCTTTGGGAACAGTGTCTGGCTGAAAACTGGTCACCGCCGCTCACAGCTATAGCACACGGTACAGTGGCTCCCTCTCCTCTCATCTCCTAACAAACAACACTTAGAAGATCTTCAACATTCTTGATCTCACCCGATCCTCCTAAGCCTGAGCTAAGATGGATGAAATGACACTGTATGACAAATGGCTGGCCCAGGACCACATCACCAGTCAAGAGCCAAGAAGGCCTGGAACTGAAGCCATCCCATTGCAGAGCTAGGTGTCTCTCCCTCGACCCCACACCACCTGGAGAGGTCACTGAAAGCTTTTTCCGTGCCCAGGGTGACACAAGATTTGCCAACCTTCTCCCCACACTCCGTTCACGTGCTCTTATGATGCCAAAGTCCCAGGGCCAGGCTGGAATTCGGGACACACCACGCAGGGCGGTGTGTGGATTTCTGGACTTGTTTTGCTTTTAAACAAACTGGCTTGGCTTCAAAAAATAAGTCCATGTTGATCAATAATCAGAAGTCTCACAACTCACCTCGAGAAAACCTTCATGTTCTTTTTATTTGAATGTATTCAATAGCATCAATGTTAACCACTTATCCACTCCTCCAAAAAGAAAATATACCCCTGGAATCATGCCAGATCATTAAAGAACCACAAGATAAAATGGCTAACATTAGACTTAATATCCTTCTCATCAAGAGCCTGAATTCTAGCTTTAACACACAAAAAAAGGAAAGCTGATAAAATTGCACTGATAAAATTGAAAAACATAAAGGCAGACAATGAATTCAAAGCACAACTTCTTTATACACCTCAGAAAGTCATTAAGTTCATTATTTAGAGCCTCATTTCTTGCTTTTGAAACTGCCAGTCGATTGATTTATTTAATGAAAGGCCACAAATACAAATTAGTGTACAAGTTAGTAATGCTAATAGGAAAGGGTTTGATCTGAGTTCATCACTTTGAGTCTTGATTGTAAACATTAAAAGGAACCTGTGAGAACGTACTTTGTATTTGTGGGGAAGACGAACACTGGTTTCTGGAGTAAGTATATGGATCCAGGTATAATTCTTGCTGCAATATTAGCAAGTTGGATACACATCACCTAGTTATTTCTCTAATGAATCACTTTCCATCTCCTGCCCTTTTCCTCTAGCTGAACCCCAGGGAGTGACTGGGGTTGATCTCAGGGGGTGACCATCTGCCTTAGGCAAAAAGAATGCTGGCATTCTTTTTCTGGCTGCCACTCATCAGTAGTATGAACCCTAGCAAGGCAAGAACACAAAACCATTGCTTTCTCTATGAAAGGGATCTAATATCTGCTCCATTTATCTCATAGGATTATTCTAAAAAACTCTTTAAAAAGTATATGTAAAAATATACAAACAAAACATAGTATAATTGCTACTAAATTATTTGAAGAAATTCATTTCTTTCTCATAATATAGAGTTGGATACTACCTTTAGAGTCTAAAGAAAAACTAGATTATCTAACAAATGAAAATAATTGAATTACAGAAAAACCTAATTATAATTCTCCAAATTCACTAGGCTCATAATTTACATAGCAATGAGTTTGCTGGTTAGGGCATTGATTAAAATCACTGCTGTATAAAATGGTTCATTCGATAATTCTTTGGGAATGCAAATTCAAGTTCAGCAAACAATAAGTATGCTTCAAAAATGAAATAATGTTGACATTCTAGGAGATGATTAAGCAAATTAAGAAACCACATAACCCTAAAATGTTTTTAAATGATCTTATTGATTTCCTCAAAACTGAATGATTAGAAAATGAAATTTGAATTATAAGTCAATTGTTAACCTTTATACTCAGGTATCACATTAAAAGCACGTAACATTCAATAAAGAGGCATCAACACCAGTACAGGAATGGGATCTTTCAGGTTCGCAGAAACAGAAGTTCTAGTTGTTAGCCAACTTCTGGCACCCAACTTTAGGAGAGTCTTGCCTTGAATGCTAATCAAATGGAAATGACCTTAAGTTAACACTCTAATGTACATCCTTTCTTTAAATATCATAACCAGGAAACATATTCCTCTAACAGACTTTTGGAAGGTCAGAACTGACCTTAGAGAGCACAGAGTCCAACCCTTATTTTACAGAACTAGTGGCTTTGAAGCCTGGCAGCATTTTTTACTAGAATGAGCAAAGATCTAAATTATTGGTTCTTTCTCCAGATAACGATCAACGCCTGTGCACTGGCAGTGTGAAATATCACACACACAGCAAGAAAGTCGGCAACAAGTGAAGGCATTACACTTGCTTCCATTTCTTTTAAGAAACAAGGCAACAAGAGTTACTTCCATACATAGTATTGCAGATTTGGGTACTTTTTGTCAATTCTGAAGCCCAGATTTAATAGCGACTTGGTTGGCTCCTGGATGAAAACATTGAACGCATCTAGAAACGTGCAGCACAACAAAAGTTAACACACTTGATTTCCTGCTCCACATTTATTGGGGATAGAGAGACTACAACAGCTATTTTCCTCTCAAATAATTGGAAAAATATAATACAACAGCAATTTCTTAAATACATAACAAAACTTTCTGGATCATGATTTCAACATGAGATGTAATAGCCTATTAGATATCAATTGTGACAGCTTTATAAAATGTCATTCATCTAAGGCATTCTGAAATTGTCTTTAAAGCTACACATATGTACATGATTCTATATACACAAAGGCATCCATTCCTGAACAGAAAGTCTTTTAGAAGCACTGTGTAGGGAAGGCTAGAGTAATACATATTTAGATTCTGAAGAATGTTTAAGAGACAGTTTGGGGTTGTAAGAAACAGTGATTTACATTCAAATGAACACGTAGATTTTCAAACCTGGATAGGTAAAATTTTTTGATGCAGGCTACAAGAAAATTCACACTGTGAATTACTCCCTTTCCAAAGGCCTCTTTCAAAATAGAGATTTCAAGTCCAAAGCAAACATCCATGGCATGAACAAATAAGATGCCTAAGATTCTAAAATTTGCTTCCATATGGCTCCTCATCTCCCTACCTATTAACGAGAGAAAAATTCCTAGAAGGGGCAATGGCTAGATGCTGTGCCATTACATCCAATAGTGTTTCTGGATGGCGGGTTATTACACCCAGATTACAATTTGGTGAATGATTTCTTATTTCTATTTCGAGTGGACTATACTACTCCAAACGGAAAAAGATTTTTGCCACAACATCCAAACATTATCACGTAGACCTATATTTCTTCCTAGTACGGAAAGAGAATCACTAGGAAAGGATAAAGCTGACAAACAGAGGAAGGAGATAGATTAAACTCTTTCACTGCCCAATTATTCAAAACGAAAACATCAGTTTCTGTTATCAAATTGGTCAGCTCTCTCCTTTATAAACAAAATCTCCAGATCGGCTTGCGTCTCGCCCTCCGATGCACCAGAGATATATCTGGGTTTAACCTACCAACCTGTTCCTGTTGATTCAGACAATCTCACACAGGCCAATTCGTTTAGCTATTTAAGGAAGAAGTCACCATTTTTCAGGCACTTTGCAACATTTAAAAATTTAAATTATTTAAGTTATTTAAAATCTGTTTGACAAACAACCCTCATTCCCTATCCCCCACAAAAAAAGTAGCTAATTCTATTACCGTATGTCTGTGAGAAGACAAGTTCCTTCAGTTTTGCCAAGGAAATAGCAGAGATGTTTTCCTCCACCTTTACTCCAAATTCAGGAGCTCTGCCTCTGATAACACAGTATTTTAGGTTACTTGAAATCAGTCCCTGTTGGAAGATTCTTTGTGAAACCAAGCTTGGAGAGTTTACTAGTGGACAAGCACATTGCCACTACTGACATTCTTGAGAAAAAAATTCAATTTCACTTGAGTTCGTGTGATCCCCTGAGCAGTTAAAAATGCCCTTGACTCTAAGGAGGCAGTGTAAGACAAAGCAAATTATTCAAATATATGTACATTTATATTCACCCTAATATGAAATACATTGATAGAAGAAGGTATTGATTTTTTTTTTAAGAAGTGTTTAGAGTTTCGAAGGAAAATAAAGACACTTAACATTGAGAAATTCCTAATAAATGATTAAAAATGTTTTTGGTTGGTTGTCATTCAAAAGTTTTCCCAGAGTTCTCATCTATGTTCTGTACAAACTGTAAATAAAAATGTACATGACCACTAATGTACTATATATATATATCAGATATCAATATGTACGTGTGAATTAAAGTTCCTTAAATACACACATCCCCACTTAGGATACCTTCCCTGACATAGGTAAAGCATCATTCTTTAATAGTAGGTCCAGGATAGCAGCAATTTAATAATCTAGTTACCCAGTTGCCTCAGAAAATATCATAGGTCCTGATAGTTCCTGATGTGTATCCCTGGCTTCAAGGAGGGCTCTCTATCAACATTTCTATGTTACCATGAAGCACCAAGCTACACCGCTAATGGCAATTATGTAATCCTGTCATTGGAGAAAAAGTTATTGTCTTTTCAAAACTCGTTTCTTCAAAATCTGACTAAAGGTATACGGAAAAGTAAGTCACAACGAGGTGATACAAATCCAAACTACTTAAGATATATAAAGCATTTACATTTTACTTCTTACATATTGTTTGTCGTTGTTTTATCAGTGCCTTGTTCATACAGCAAGTATTCAGATCACCCTAACAGATCCTGAAAGAGCAAGACCAAACTTCACTGAGAGCTGCTCTAAATTGTGTTTTTACAAATCTGAGACAGCTATATCGTACTAAGTATTGTTTTAAAAGTGATGCTTATGAATCTATACTTTTGGGTAAGTTATGAACTTGCAACCAAAATTGACATATATAATATGCAAAAAATCTTTAGGTTGATTTATAATAAACCATATTAGTCACAGAAGGAAGGACAGAATGGCTTTTACGTAAACATTTATTTTGTGTGTCCTGCTGGGTATATCCATGCATGCCCAATGGATAGAAATTCTAGATAGGCAGCAAGTTACATGGATTCTAGATATACATATGGACTTTCCTACTCACTCGGTGTGTACTTTCATGTCCAATTCTAAATCTGTTTGGTGTATGAACACAGAGCTCAAGAAAGGTCCCTGTTATCTATGATGAAGTTTTGAACCTCTGCCACTCTACCCATACTTCATATAAAACAATCTTGTAGACCACAGCTCCTGGCTGTAAGAGAAGAGTTTATCACCTTAAAAAAGTTACATTTGTCAAGGGAGAGATACTAAATCAGACCATATTGTTTTATATGCTGCAACCCTTTTACTGGAAGGGACAACTCCCTCTGCACAGCAGTTTCTCCTGCTTGAAGCTGAGATCACACAAGAAGAAAACCATTGTGTTTCTGCCAAGTCACTGTGGGAATGTTGGGAAAGCACACCCGGTAGCTGGCAGCAGCAGAACCACCATATTGACGCCTAAGATAAGCAGCCTGCTTTATAGCTCTTATGAGAATTTTCCCTTAGACAGTCTTATCTTTCACCTCCTACACGGGAGTTTTCCCCCATGTTTCTCATGGTGGTCAAATCAACACAGAACAGATTTGGCTTCTCAGTTATCATGTATGTTGCCAACCATGGCAACGCATGTATTATGTTGAATATTCACTCAGGCTCCTTGAATTTGGCTGGAAGTTGAACAGTCCAGTGAGATCCTTCAGACGACAAAATGATGAGGTGTTAGTTCCTCCCCAGCATCCCCAAAGCTTCCCAACATGCTCCCGAGACACAGCCTGGACTGTAGAACCCGGTTCTCTTTACACGGGAACACACACACTAGGGCTTGGCCTTTTCTGATGCCGAAGGCAGGCAGGTAAGTTCGAAGTCTGGACACAGAGGCACTTCCAAAGTTTGGCAAAGAGAAGGAGGCAAGTTCAGTCAGTGGGGTTTTATCACTGTGCTGTCTCATATAACCCAGACATGTGGCACATGGACACAAACAGAGATCTTTATGTTGTGGATGGGTCATGCTTTTTCTTCTTGCCCCGACAGGACTTGCAGACACAACAGATTATACACGGGGAAGCCAGGAGCAGCAACGGTGAAGTCACCAAGGCAATGATGCCCAATCCCACAAGAATCCCGACCACCTGGAAATTCAGAGGAAAAGCCTATTTCAGCAGTTAAATCTTCCTATATGTATACTAAGCCATCAGCTATAGACTGAATGTTTGGTCCCTCCAAAATTCATGTGTTGAAACCCTAATCCCCAATATGATGATGTTTGGAAATGGGGGCTTTGGGAGGTAATTAGGACATGAGGGAGACCACATGATGGGATTAGTGCCCTTCTAAGAAGAGACACCAGAGAGCTTGCTTCCTCTCTCTCTGCTCTCTGCCATGTGAGAATGCCATTTGTAAACCAAGAAGACAGTCCTCACTAGAACCCAACCATACTGGCACCCTGATCTTGGACTTCCAGTCTCCAGAACTGTGAGAAATAAATTTCTGTTTTTTAAGCCACCCAGTCTATGATAATTTATTATAGCAGCCTGAACTGACCAAGACACCATCTCAGGCACTTAAAACAGTTACAATTATGGGACCTTTTAGCCAGTGCCCAGCAATGGTCTGAAGTGGATATAAACCAGGGAGATACTAAGGACCAAATCAAAGAAGAGAAGAACAAACTGAATGCTAACTCAGGCTCTGGTGCAGCTCAGCATAACCATGAATTGTTGGTGTTGGCTCTCTCTCTACCTGAGTTTCCTCAACAGTCTCATAGGGATGTTAATAATGATTACTAGGCTATTAACACCGACTCCCTCAAAAGGAACACGGCCTTTAATAAATATGAAACACTATTAAAAATAAACCAGGAGTTCCTTTGAACCTGCCACATAAACATACAATGGCATGTACAGAGGGATCTAAGCCCCAGCAGGGGCTCAAAGGATTTTAGAGCCTTGCCTTTCACAGCAAATAAGCCTTAAAAGGCTTTAGGAAAGTCATTCTACCATTTTTTCAGGAGGAAAGAACATCTGCCTTCATTCTGCAGGTCACTGTTAATTACTTGGCTGCTCTGGTGCCTTGCCACCACCCCCAACCCCACACTTATCCCCAAGGGGATGGTGCTCATGAATTAACTTCAGGCAGTTGCTCCATTACTCTTCCCTAGCCCTGCCCCAGAACTCCCCAGAACCTCCCAGGCTGCGATGGGTAGGTAGGGAATAGAGTGGGGAGGATGAATAGGTGGGCTTTTTAAGCCATCATAAGTCTGGTTTATCTCATGCTCCTTCTAAGGTCAGGGTACCTGTGTTCGGTTCCACATCACTGAGGCTCTCGAGTGGCCGAGCTTATTCCTACACGGCCCTTTGTCATAATGTCTGAGGAAAATGTCATTCTGAAAAACAAAGAGAGAGGTTTTGGTAAACATGCAGTTTTGATTTGAGAGATGGATACTAACCACATCAGATCACCTTAGTGGAAGCAAAGGCTCTGTCTAGTGATATTACTGATGGCCCCTAGGAATTCCCAGCCCGTAATCTTTAGACTATATCTCAGTAGTTTTATAAATCAGAGTGAAAACAGATCATAATCAACGAGACTCTTGATTGAGTCTAAAAAAGATTAATGACCTGACCAATTATCTTCAAAAGGTAGCTCTAGAGGAGGTGCAATATAGAATGAGAGGACCATATGCGAGGCAGCTAAAAGGGTGTTGTAGTAAGCAGGTGAGATAAAATGCCAGTGGCTGAGATGGAGAAGAGGAAAACACAGTGGTGAGATATTAAGAAGGTAACTAACTAGATAGGGAAGCAGGGAGAAGAAATCACAGAGGAGGGGAAAGCCACTGGGTAGAAGGCAGTGACTTGGCTGAGAGAAACGACAACACAGAGATGGAGTTTGTTAGGAAGATGATGACCACAGTTTAGACACGTTGAACTTGACAGAAACTTGAGACACTCAAGCAGTACTGTTCAAAAGGCAGCTGGATTTTGGAAAAGAGACTAGAGAATCAGTGTACTTGGGGTGGAAGAAACCACAGAGGTAGATGAGATTACCCAGGGAGAGAGTATAGACTGAGAAGCAAACAGGCTGTTGAACACAGACATTTACGAATGGGTCAAGGGAGAGCCTGGAAAGGAAACTGAGAAGTGGCCAGAAACATACAAGATAAACCAGAAGAGATGATATCACTGAAACAGAGGTGGTGAAGATGTCAAAGGCAGCAGAGAATCTAGGTAAGATGAGAACTGAAGGATCCATTGGATTTTACCCAAAAGAAATCACTCAAAGCCTTGGAAGAATATGGTTAGGGTCTGACTAGGTGGCAATCTGAGTACACCACAATGATTGGAGGTAAGTAAGTGTCAACAGCTAGAGGTTTTTTCCTCAAAAAAGCATAATCCTTGGCTTCTCAAGGAAGGAGAAAAATAGAATGGTAGAAAGGGGAAAATGTAGGCTTGAGAAAAGTGTTCCTCATTTTTAAATGGGACATAGTTGAATGCATGGATATGTCAGTGAGTAGAGAGTGAAGAGTGGGAGTTGAAGTCACAGGAGAGAGAAGAGATAACTGAAAGGGACACATCTCTGAGGTTCCCAAAGCAGAAGATTAAGAATACCCCATCCTCTGAAACAGGAGAGATGAGGATCAAGGCAGGAACAAACTCAATGCCACAGCAAAACTCAAAATCGCTCTGTTTGGTGTCTGTCTCAGGCTTGGCTTTTGGACAATCACCCTTCTCCTAGACCCATGCTCTAAAACTTTCCTATAAACAAAGATCAACACCACGATCTGGCACAGAACACTTGTCTACAGAAAAACATCATTACCAACAAGCCAATGCCCCTGGGTAAAACTGAGAGAATGAGATCTCTAAAAACAATGACCAAAAATGATGCTGTGTATCCAGCCATTTAACATCTGTACCGTTTCATCTCGAGTACCAGAACAGTACAAGTGACAGAACAATGTGTTCTTTGCAACACCATACCCCAAACATATTGTGGCCAAAGGATATAGAGATCTGGTGCACATATTTACTCCCTTACATTGTGGCTTCCTAAAGAGAACCTCATGGGCTCAACCTCATCGTGGATATGAACACAATTAATATTTTGGTTAAACCTGATGGAAAACAGAAAAGATTTCTTTCATTTGTAAAGCATGAGGGGTGTACAATCAGTCAAATCCTCATCCAGAATATCACTCATGTGGAATCATGAGAGGTCTCAAATATCAAACATAATTGTAATTAAAGGGCTTATGATAAATAAAATTTTTTAAAAAGAATGAAAACATTTCTTTCAACCTGAGCTGTTGAGCTTCCAGAGTCTAAAATGTCAATTTTCTTCTCCCCAATTTATACCTCTTCTTGAAACACTGATATCAAGTTGATTAAGATTCTTACTCATAGATATCACCCTAAACAACCTATCTCATTTTCAGGTAAAAATCAGGCATGTGGTGCCCAGCACACATCCCACGTTAACTGCACGCTCATTCTCTGAGCTAAACGACAATAAAGCACGACACAAATTGTTTATTGAATTGAAGCAAACTAAGCAACTAAAATGAAAAGCTCAGAAAAGAATGGCCACTCAACCATGACTGAGGGCTTACACTGATATGGACATATTTTACAGGTCCAAATTGCCAAAATAGGGGATATCTATAAACAACTTATGCTACCCCAAACTTCAAAACGTTAGAATTGAAAACCATAGAATTCTCACCAATCCTTCACACCACCTTTTAACTCTGAGGTTACCATCAGCCTTAGCACAGGACTGAATGAAAGTGCACCTGAACTTGAGCAGATATGCTTCCTGAATGGTGAAGGAAAAGAATAATTAGACCAGACCCCTTTATCTGGGACAGGGACCCTCACAATACAGTTGCAATACCACTGTCATGCCAATGAACGAGATAATTATTTAAGAGATACCATTGAGTTGAATGGCCTTTTTCTTAAATCCAAAAAGAGGAAAACAACCTAATGGTGATAGGCAGAATAACTGCTCCCCTAAAGATGCCCATGGCCTATTCTCCAGCACTTGTGAATATGTTACCTTACATGGCAAAAGGGATTTTGCAAGTGTGATTAAATTAAGACTCTGAGATGGAGATTATCCTGTATTATCCAGATGGGCCTGATCTAATCACATGGGTCCTTAAAGGCAGAGAAGCTTTCCCGGCTGTGGTTGGAGGGAATGACTCCAGAAGCTATGACTATGGAATAAGGGTCAGAGAGATGTGATGTTGCTGCATTTGAAGATGGAGAAAGGGGCCACAAGCCAAGGAATGTAGGCAGCCTCCAGAAGCTGGAAAAGGCAAAGAAATGGATTCTCCCCTAGAGTCTCCAGAAAGAAAGCAGCCCTGAGGATACCTTGATCTTAACCCAGTGAGACCCATGTCAGACTTCTAATGTACAGAACCAAAGATAATAAATTTGTGTTGTTTTAAGCCACAAGTTTATGGTAAATTGTTATAATAGCAATATAAAACTAATACCCTAATAGTCTTTTACACAACAGAATGAGACAATGTCCGAAAAGCAGAATATGTCCTAAAACAAAAGTCTGCCTTTACAGCTAAGGTGACACACCTAAGGTAATCAAATAGAGATTTTAGGGATATCTAAAGTAGCAGGCTCGGAAAGTCTCATTAAGAAAAATAAATTTCTTTTGCAGGATAAAAATAGGCTCAATGTTTTAAAAGGAAAGCCTGTAGGATACTGGCTGTTGCACAGATCCAGTATGGAGAAGACTCTTCCAAGTGGAACTTACGTCCAGGTTCTGGAGACAGTACCAGCAGAACGTGTGCTTACAGTTCTTGCACATCATCTGAGCACAGCCTTCGTTGCGTTCGATATAAACCCGGCAAACCGGGCATTGCTTAATGGGGGCTTCTGCATCTGTCCCAAAGAGGGCCCTACAAATAAAATGAATGAGAAATTACAGGGTGAGGATTAAGAATGCTGCCTGATTTTTTAAAAAGCTGGGACCACAAGGATGTACACTAACCAGAGCTATAGGAAGAGCGGGCTGAATATAATTAACCAAATAGTTAAATAAGACCCTTCTAGACTCAATTTTATGGTTAACTGAATTCCCAGGGCTCCTGATGGATAGGGGGTGAATTCTTTATTATCTTTGCTTAATTCACTTCTGAGGAAAAGGGTGAGAGTAAAAAACAGAAGAGACACAGATTATTAGTTGTTCAGATAATTCAAAATAAAAAAGAACCTTAATTTATTTATCTTTGGCTTTGAGTGAATAATCTAATTGCATTTTCCACAGCTGATTTAATTCATTGTTTTGCCAAATTATTATTTCATTCCCTGAGCACACACTGTCTGAATAAAAAATGCAAGAAGTCTGCTGTACAGCAAAAAACTAGCTTAGGATCTAAGGGGCGTAGATAATCTAATGATCTGTTCAAATATAGTCATGCGCCAAATAATGACATTTCTGTCAATCACAGATCACCTATACAACGGTGTTTCCACAAGATTAGTGCCAGGTAGCCTAGGTGTGTAGTAGGCTATAACATCTAAGTTTGTGTAAGTACACACTATGATGTTTGCACAACGACAAAATTGCCTAACAACATATTTCTCAGAACGTATTCCCTTCGTTAAGTGAAGCACGACTGTCAACAAATAGAGGAGGTTGGGGGAGTCAGTAATCAATACTTGAAAATAAATGCCCAATATCATCGAAAAGACCTGCTCCAAACAGATGAATAGGCCAGCACAGGCTCACAGCCTAAAGGAGCATAGAAAATAAGTGGAACAAATTGGGGTGGGAGGGAGGGCTACGTGAGCCATAGCACTGGGTTGCACTTTGGCTACTGTTCATCAAAACCACCACCCAGCACACAGAGACTCATGCCTGCAGAGTGTTGTCAAATCTACGATCGGATTTGGTCACAATAACCTTATATAGCAGTGGGACAGTTACTATTTTAATCCCCCCTTTTTATTTCAAAAGGAGAAACAGACTCATAGAGGCTGAGTGACTTGCATGAAGTCACACAGATACCAAGTGGCAATGTCAGAACTCAATCCTCTCTCCTCTGGGATCTTTACATTGTCCTGTGATACCCGAGGACCTTACTGCCACGGCAGTGAAAATGTGGGAGGTACTAGCTAAGAGAGCACGTGCCTGCCATGTGTATTAGATCCTTTTTTTTTCTCTTGATTCGTTTGGTCTGAGATTCAAGCACAGTCTCATAGCCAGGTAGCATTACTGTTCCTGAAAAATGGTTCTACAGACTCTGAGGGCGCTGGTGATTAAGCCAGTTGGACTATAACACTGGTAGTTCTGTTCCTGCTGATGCAGAACAGCCATAGCCTCAAGCAAAGCAAGGGATCAAACACAAAGGTCTCTCACTCTGGCACTGCTGCTGCCATAAAAAACCTCCATACTGAAAGGTATAGAGTTAATTGCGTCTCATCATAACAAAATCTCAACCTTGGCACCATCTTTTCAGAGGATAAAAATATTGAGAGAGAAGCTCTTTTCCTCTAGTACCTATAAATTTATCACTGTACTACACTTAAGCGCTATTGTTCCTATTGCTGTGTTCTCTCTGACATGATTGGCACACCTCACAAGCTGGCAATTTAGTCAGGTAAGAAAATAATTTCTGCACCACTTTGCAAGCAGGAAGAACGAGGTACATCAATGGCAGGCAAATGGTACCTAAGCAAATGGCTGTGGACAAGCCCTGACTTCCTACCAAGAACCAGTGGACTATGCACCTCTCTACATAAAGAGAAATCAAAACTCATAGAAAGTCTAACTTCAGCAGTATCTGGAAGATTCTTTGGGGGTCAATAACTAAAATTCTTTTAGAAATGCTTTTTGATTATTCTTTGAAAGTTCTTCAGGGAAATAACTAATCTCTAAATTCCATCACAAGATAACTTCTTCTCCATGCAACATATTTGGGGTTTCTAAGAAAACTAGCGAATAATTCCAATTCCTTTCTTACCCATGCTCTGTTGGCAGGACGACAGATTGACTATCTCTACAGGAGACCTCTGCATGCCAAGCATCCTTGCAGCACGAGCAGAACTTCAGGTGGCAAGAAGGGCACTCCACCAGCACAGGCTGTCCTGGGTCACTTGATGCAATGGGGCACACTGTCTGACAGTCTGCGACAGGACACCACGTTCGGTAGGGGTCCAGGTGAACTTCTAGAGCACAAAGAAAGAAAATGTGATGGTCTATCTTTCTTTCATTCAAGCTTGAGACTGTCTCCCCTTCATTTATTCTTTTATACGCTAACATTAATGGAAGCTTACTACAACCAACGGTGGTGATTTCTACTGCTGGTCTTCATCAAGTATCCAAACTTACAAGGTCACTCAGCCGTGCCACGTTTCCCAAAGTAGGTACTAAGGGTAGGCTACCATGCCCTTATGAACAGATAAGGAGTGTTCTCACCAACCAAAATTTGCAACTATTTTGGACTATTTCTCACCTGTCAGCACTCATAATAGTGCTGACAAAAATAGTACTGACAAAAAATAGACAAAAGTCTCAAGTCCCTTCTACAATTATTTTGGGTACTGTCTTGAAGGAAAATTTGGCATGAAGGACCTACCACAGCAAAAGAAAAAACATTCACAAAAGATTTTGTCCTTTCAGGCAGTGAGAAATAGATAGTGAGGTTTCTTCTGTTGTTTAGAGGGAAATTAAAGATCAAGGAAGAGGGCCGGCCCCGTGGCTTAGTGGTTAAGTGCGGGCGCTCTGCTACTGACGGCCCGGGTTCGGATCCCGGGCGCGCACCGACGCACCACTTCTCCGGCCATGCTGAGGCCGCGTCCCACATACAGCAACTAGAAGGATGTACAACCATGACATACAACTATCTACTGTGGCATTGAGGGGGAAAAAAAAAGGAGGAGGATTGGCAATAGATGTTAGCTCAGAGACGGTCTTCCTCAGCAAAAAGAGGAGGATTAGCATGGATGTTAGCTCAGAGCTGATCTTCCTCACAAAAAAAAATATATATATCAAGGAAGAATCAAAATAGTTTAGGGACCAAACAGTGTCTGGCATGGTTTGGCGAAGAAGTCAGATTAGCTGTCAATAAATATTCTAGTTAGGGACAATTTACAAAAGACCCACATGCTCTAAACACAAAAGGTAGGAACTTTCACGGACCATAAAATGATAGTCAGTCATACACCACATTGGCTAGATCCATGTGACATACAGCAAAGAAGATAGGGTCGGGGAGTGGACAACTGTCTTTCTATTCAAGTGTTTACAAATCTTGTTCAGCTTTCCATTTTCTATTCAAGAACAGACTCTGTGTTCTTGTCACATAATATGACCTTTAAAGGAACATATCATGTGAAAAATGATGTTATCTGAGGGGTAGAGTAGCCCTTTTTTCTCTGAACCAATGTATTTTGCAAATTTTGAACTGATGAGATTCTAGCCTTAAATCTCCTAAGGCTTGTGATTCTTGGAAATTTCTACGCAGGAGGCAAATAAACCCAAAGGGTGATGCAAAAAGGAAATGAAGGTATTTAGTATGAGCTTAGTTTTAAAGGTAATAATTTTACAAATTCAATATCAGGAGAAAAAAGTCTGAAATGTTCCAGGAAATACGGTCTCCATTAGTCTCTTACTTAGAAAATGCAACCACTGGATCTATGCTTGTTATAGGTTTTCATTCATAAAGAGCATCCTTAAACATATCGTCTTATCTAATCATTTGGGGGGGGTAGGGGGTGGGTAATGATGGGCCAAATATAATCAGAAAAGGGAAGCATATGACTCATAGACCCTCAGACCCCAAGAGAGATGGACCCTCTAAGATCCCTAAAAAGTTGGGAAGGCTGGTTAGAAAGTCAAGGGGACAGTGACACACACATGCCCCAAAGTCTTGACCTTTTATTTCCACCATTTATATTTCTTCTGAATTCTTATAACTGCTTCATAAATACTAAGCCCAAAGATAAGAAGGCTGGTATGCTACTTAGAGCCAAGGACTCCATCAAATATCTACTTACTATCCATTCTACATCACAGGTGTTTTAAAAGTTTGATGATAAAGAAGGAAAAGGAAAGGAAAGACACATATTCTAGTTAAAATTTATGGCATCACTACTGATCACCTTAAAAAGATGCATGGATGCAACTTGTCCTCATAACTCGAATCAATTAAAATTATTTGGTAGATGTTCTGACTTGCTTGTTTCTACCAACCTACTATTTCAGGTATCTGGGATGGCACAATAGATGCAGAAACAATAAATATGGGAGCAACTATAGATTTTGATGAACTCCTATAAAGAAAGGACCTTAGTATGCAGTGCAGCTAGAACACACAGTCCAATACAAAAGCAAGCGAAGAGTCTGAGCCACAGAAAACAGTGATCTGAATTTTTCTCCACTATGACAGTACATAAATGACCATGCATAGGAGAGTGGAGGAAGGCACAGAAAGGAGACATTATAGCTTCCTATTTATTTTTTTCATTAGAAGGCTTATTCTTTAGGGATAGCTTATAGAACTTAACTAACACCAAAAGTGGAGTTACTACAAGATAGATTTTGACTCTATCCAGAAATGAAATTGGCTACTCTAGCCAACTCTACAGTATCTACTCAATAACTATCCCAACCCATTTCAACCCTTCTTGCTGAGAACACTTGTCTATCTCTACAGAGGCAGAGTATTCCAGAGATTTGCTTTCTCAGCCTTCCTTGCAGCTAAGGCTTGGGCATGTCACATAATTCTGGCCAATGGGAGGTAAGAGAAGGTCCACCAAGGGGCTTCTGGGACAAGATCTCCTCCTTGATACCGGGAAGAGTCACCCTTCAGTATGCCTGCCTCTGAACACAGCTGTATGGAGTTATGATGCTTGGGCCATGACAACAATCCTGGAACTCTGAGTGAAAGCTAAGTGAGTTAGACAAGTTGAGCTGCTAAATCAACCAAACCTGCGACAGCCTACCCTTGGACTTCCTGTGTGAGAGGTAATTCAAGGCCCTTGCTGTGTAAGCCACTTTTAGTCAGGCACTCTGTTCCTTGCAGCTGAAAGCATCTTAACTGATAAGTAATAGTGAGCAAATACCTAGTTCAAACAAGGATAGTTCCTCCCATGTGGCAGATATTTTATAAAGGGGATTAAAGCTTCATGTCCAAGAGGACCTTGAAAGTTTCTTCCAACCCAATGATTTTATCATTCTATTCTAAACCCATGAGGTACATGGAAACGTATGTATGTAAATAGAAATAAAATATATACTGTATACATTAGCCTATAGAAAACCTTATCTACCATAATAAAAATTTATTTTTATTATTTATTAACTTTTTTAAAAAGTTAACACACTCTGCCAGATTGATAAGGTTTTTATGTAGGTTAGTAGACAAATAATGTACAATTCATATAGTTGAACACAAGGGAACTTTTTAAAAAATAAGGTAAATCAATGTGACAATATGGAAAGATCTCTAAGATATATTGCTAAGTCAAAAAAGTAGATTGAAGAAGAGTAAAAATGAACTATGTTTATAAAAGTATGTATATATAGAAATATGTTTTAACATCTCCAGAAGAATATCTAAGAAACATAACAACAGTTACCCTTAAGTAAAGGGAAGAGAGGTTGGGGGAAGAGGCAAAGATTCGCTTTATTACTAAACTTGAATTTAAAAAAACAGGACCAATACAACTTTTATAATTTTTAAAAGGTAGTTTAAAAAGGCTACTTTCAATCTGGCATATGAACAACAGACTAATAAAATAATTCTGGAACTAAGCTGTCCCCTGGAAAATTGTTTACTTTTTATAACATTGAAATATACCCAAAATTCCTCTGTTTCACCTTCTTCTCCATATATACAATTCTCATTCTATGCTTTTCCTTCCCTCTAAAAATCCCCTCTCATCTTTACGACGTCATAGCCTATTTATCCATTCTTAAAGGACCTACTTCTACGTGCTTGTCTTAATTTTGGTGTCACAGAATCCTCATCTTGTTCATTGCTGTTCTCTAGTCATTTCTAGAGAAAGATAGCCTTTCTCTCTTTAGATTGTAGGCATGGGCTATTTCTTATTCTATTTGTGTGCTCCAATTTACCTGACACAGTGATGGGATGTTACCTATTAATTTAAACCAGTAATTCTTGGGTTTTTCAAAAGCATAGATATACTCCTCTGCAAACAATTAACTTATAATAATACCATCTTGAATTGCCTTGCACTGGAATTTATTTTCCATTCTCTTCTAGTACACTCATCAACAGAGGTGCATAGCACACTAAAATCGTCCAATATCAGTCCTGGTGTTGAAAGTATGTTACGATCTATATTAGACCATACATCTCCACCCACGTCAGTCAGGGGCTCTCTACATTTGGAAAGATGTTGACACGGCAAAACACGAAACTTTACATATAGCACTTCCAAAATTATAACTTCCCCTTTATCCACACAGAGGGTCAGGGGAGAAAACAAAGATCAGATATCTACCAATTTAAACCAATTACTTCTCTCAAACAGAGCACCCTTCTCCCATCAGCCCCCTTTTTACATAATTTAAATTTAAAAAAAGCACTGCTAGTTAGAATCTGACACAATTAAAGCCTAGAGAAATGTCCATCAATACGAGGCACTCAGAGGAGCAACACAATATCATTTGTTTATGTAAATGTTGGCTTCTGGGTTCAGATTTTTGTTGTTGCTGAGGAAGATTCGCCTGAGCTAACATCTGTGCCAGTCTTCCTCTTTTTTGTATGTGGACGCCACCACAGCACGGCCGCTGACTAGTGGTGTAGGTCCATGCCTGGGAACCAAACCCAGGCCACCAGAGCGGAGCATGCTGAACTTTACCGCGAGGCCACAGGGCTGGCCCCCCGGCACAGATGCTTTTTACACAGGTTCTTGAGATTGTCCTACGGCTTTTCAATACTGCTCTGGTTATGTAAGATACTTGCCAAAGCTGTGCCATCGTCTTCCTGAGAAACCATTGACGCAGAGTAAATAACTTTTCTGGGGAAAAGAGACAAACCTAGCCAAATTCCAGAAAGTCCTCCCAGCTTTATATTTCTACGTTAAAGTAAGGAGCAGAGTAAGTTAACAAGGAGTTAAGGTGGAACATTCAAAAGTATAGTGACTCAATTTCTCTTACTGGAGATAGAGACAAGACTAAAGAGATTTACCCCTTGTCGTCAAATGACCACACACAGGTCTTCTACAGAAATTCATGAAGGACATTTTTGAATGAGAAGAAAAGATATATTGGTGCCTCTGGGCCTAAAGGCACAGAGAATACTTACATGTTTTTCTCTCTGCCTTCTCTATTTTTGATTCATGACAGAGACACTTCAGCTCAAGTGTCCACTTTCTACTCTTTCAACTGGGTTAGAATGGCTAGAGATAAGCCTTTGGGATTGTTACATTTGTGAGAACCAGATAACGTTGAGCAAACACTAGTTCTGCTTTTGATAGTTATTTATAGCTCTACATTTTTAGAAATCACATTTAAGTCTATAGGTTAGAACTATGTATAAGTAGCCAATCTACACATGATTTTGATCTGAAAGAGTCAAATTTACAAGGAACTAAGTGAGCAGAGGGAAGAGTCATAGGAGATAAAATGGTAACAATAGTCAAGGCCTGATCACAGATTATGAGGATAAAGCCAAAGCATGATGAGAAGCCATTGGAGGGGAGAGCCATTTTGATCAGCAGGGTGCCATGAGATGATTGCCATTTTTAGAAGATTACCCTGGCTATTGTAGGAAAAACAGATGGTATTGGAACAAAGTAGCAGCAGAGAGATGGATTAGGAGGCTATTGTAGTGGTCTAACCCAAGATATGCACTGGATTATAGGTTAGAAATAGAAGCACTAAAAATTTGGAGCATATTTTGAAGGTGAAACTATCAAGATTTCCTAGTAGAGATGCAGCTGGATGCAGTCATCCCAGTTGACAACCACTGACCTAGAAAGATGCCTGGAACATGGTATTCATTGAATAAATGAATGAAGCCACATAACAGAAGTGTAAGAAATAGTATCTGTAGATCAATTCCCTATGGTAATAAAAGATAATGATAGCATATATGGCAAGGTTCCATACTGTTCAGTCCTGCATTCAGATATTTCTGAAGAACAGAAACAACTGTCCAGAGAGATTTTTGCACAGGGCATATTGGGGTCTCTTGGAGAAGGGCTTCCTCCATTGGAACAGGGATCCAGACATACAAGTCTGGCCAGTTACACTGAAAAGGTATCTGAGCACAGCACGGCATCTGCCCTTCAGATTACCCTTCAGCCCAGCTCCTAGAAGAGCAGCTACAAATAAAAGTTAATAGAAGCTAAAAGACTTATTTTTTAAAAATTATTATAATTCCAATATGCCATTCAGAGCACAATTTTGCTTTATATACCTCAAGTAACAGAGTGTACCACAAGTGGGGCCAAGAGGCCAGATCAGTAGAAAACGAAAAAACGCTGAAGGGGCATCAGACATTGGCAACCCTGGCAGCTAACAGGACTTTCCAGAACCCAAGCCAAAGAGGAACAGATTGATGGACACCAGGTGGTAGCCACATCGCGATCACATGAGCAAGAGCCATCTTCTCCACTCTCTCCTCCACACCATCCATCTGAGAGGAGTTTGAGGGGAAAGGGGGTCCCACAGGGTTATTGGCAGACGTTTTAAAACATTTATTATTATTATTATTATTATTATTATTATTATTATTATTATTATTATTATGAATTCAATTCTATCTCCTGGTTTTTGGCCCAGGAAACACAGTAATTATGGAGATAAACAAAAAGCACAATTATCCAAAATGTTTAAGGTTTATTTTCTTCTCCCTTCAAATTTCTTTTCCAAAGTTGGAAAAAAATAAACTAATGCATATTCAACTATTTCTTCTGCATAGGCAGTAACGAAAGTGTCACGCAGCTTTGAGATGAAAAGTTGAGAAAACCAGAAAAAGAGAAACCAGGGATCTGTGTAAATCAGCCCCCAACTAATAGTGTCCCCAACACTTTAATATGAACATGATTTAGGAGTGACTGATTGTAACATACTTACATCAGAGACAGACAAATTCATACTTGAACTGGAATTTACTTATGAAAATGAGAATTGATTACTGAAGTCAAGCCCCATGACTATTTGACCTTAAGACTCTGCTTGTTCATATAAATTTTGCAAGGCAGGAAACGCCATTTAAAACTATTTTCTACTTCTGACAATTATTGGGAAATAGAAATATTGTAAGAGTATAAAACTGCCACGAGACCTAAAGACCATGTTTGACTCCAGTGATTGTTTTCAGTTTTCAAAAACTGAACTCAAGAACCTTGGTTTTCCCACCTGGAACTATCAGCATTAGATATGTAGAGTTTGCTTTTTATTCTCTTGTATATTCTCTCAACTGACACGAGTATTTTTCTGCCATTCTCTACCATTGTGAGGCTGTGCCAAAAAAGACATCACATGAATTTTTATTATTGAAGGAAACACCATGCACCCAACCTAATTTAATTATCAACTGAAATAAATCAAATTGTTTCAACTTTTATGACCCATTGCATTTTTAGTTATGCCAAAGTGAACTTGCTTTCTGATATCTCAAAGAACAAAGGTCTTCCGCACATAGTTAAAATGCAATTAAACTAATCTGATCGGAATTAACACCTGCTACAGTAAATGTACTCAAACAGAGGTGGCCATTGGCAGAGGGGTTGCTTTCAAGATAGTTGAAGAGAACCACAGAATTTCAAATTTGGAAACAACTCTCCAGGTTATCTAGTCTAACACTGTTATATTAAGACCTACAGAAGTTAGGAGTTTGCATAATTCATGGTTAATAAGTATATAATGGGATCAGGCCTTTTTACTCCTAGAACACCATTCTCTATGTAGAAACATAGTCATATTATTAAATAGATTTTAAGTCCCTCTATCATCATGGGAACCTTTTCTCTTTAAAGCAGCAACTTTGAATGCTCCATTTCAGCAAGTCAGGATCTCTTTGGAGGTGGTCAGAGAAGGTGGATTCATGGTTAGAGTAAGAGTGTACTGTGAGGGAAACTGATATGACGGGTGGTGTAAGGAATTAGCATTGATTATCAAGTTTCTACACAACTCTCTAGAATCTAGGACAATAAGGATGGAAACATGCTGGAAAAAAATTGGATTAAGATGAAAAGAAAGCAAAAATGATATTATTGTAGTATATATTCAGTCCAAGGTATGATCTGGATCCTGGAAGATGCTTTCTTGGTATAGTTTAGAAAACAGGGGAGAAGATTTGGTGGTGGTAGTGATGAGTAACAACAACAACAACAATAATAATGGCAGTAATAATTTATTGAATGCACACTGTGACAGACACACTACAAACTCATTTATTCTCTACTAGAGCCTTAGGATAATCATTCCATTATTTACCCATTTTACAGATGAGGAAATGGAAGAGTACAGGGAAAGGGAAACACTTAACATTGTGCCTCTCATTCAGGTCTTCTTTAGAAATCTCACCCTACCTGCTAATAAATGTCTTTTCTTGCAGATACTTTAGTTTTTCAGAGGAAAGCTGAAACACCTAGGGGGTGTTGTTTTAGATTTAAAACTGATCAACAAGAAAGAACTGGATGGTAAAGTAGAGGAAGCGTGAAGTGGAGAAAGTGTTATCATGTGAAAGCACAGAATAGCTTAGGAAGGAAACCCTAGACTTAGTCACACATTTACCACAAAACACCAGAAAAGCAGGCTCAAAAAGAAAACACACACACACAGAGATGATAAGAATGGGGCTTGTGAGCAGAAACTATGAAAAGGAAGATGACTAATGAGAGATGGAGGTGTTAAAAAATAAAACTGAACTGACAATAAGGTGATGAAGTATCACCCAGTCTTACAAAGAAAAAACACTAAAAGAAACCAAATAACTATACAAGGAGCTCTGGTGAGATAAAACCTGAATGATCAGACACAAAAGATGGGGTGGGAGCATTTTATCAAGGACAAATAAAAGGCAAGATAAAACTCGCAGAGCCATCTCATAAACGTTAAGACTCAAAATGAAAAAAGGCTTGTGAAAAACGCTGAGAACAAAAGGGCTTTCAAAGAAAGATGGAACCATAGCTCGAAGCAGCATCTGGAACTGCACCTGGGACATAACAGATACTCAGTACATAAATAAGTACATACTGAATACACGAGTGAATGCAGTAGGATTAACAGATAACAACAGGAGAACAAATTCCTTTTTTACTTCACTTTTTTATGAAGGAGAACACTATGGCTCTTAAACCATTTGTAAGAGTTTCTAATCACTATATGATAATACAAATATCCAAGAACAGCCACGTGAACCTACCAAGGAACTGAAGCAACTTGCAGTTACAATAAGTAAAACAGGGTCACACAAAATAGGAAAAGTGCTGAAAGACTAGAAATGGATAATCTTAACCCAATTTTTTAAAAAACTATTTTGAAAAAGTAGATTCTAGAAATAAGAGGCAATCAAAAATCTAGCATTAATCATCAGGCATGTGCTTTGAGAACCAGTAGAAAGTAAAGCAGTAATCACGAACACATGCCCAACTTAGCATTTCCTTTTCTCTGTTAATACTGGAAGACAGACACAGAAAAGGAAAGCCACAAACACAGTAGTAGCCAATGGAAAAGTCACAGATGGATGGAAAGTAGATTCACAGAATAACCAGTCAATGCCAAATGGTACTTCTCTGCTTTCTGTAAACAGAGTGATGATTTGGGCCCATTTCTATTCAAAAGGTTTTTTCCCTACAAAGACTTGGATGAAAACAAAGACATAAAAGGCAAGCTAATCATATACGTAACATAAAGCAGAGGACAATTAAAACACTGGATGACAAACTAAAAACTAAGAAGAGAACTTGGTAGGCAATAAGAATTGGACAAAACAAAGGATAATTTTTATAACTAAGATAGAGGGCTGCCACTAATCTGATTCTACATTTTTTCAGAGGAACAACAATCTCTACAATTCTATCTCAGAGCCCAAGCCGACGAGTTTTACTTTCCACCAGTTAGTCATTTAATCCATTCACAATACTAGTATTTAATGCATCCCAAGATCCCCTTCTAAAGAGTTCCACATAAAATATTTTCTTGGCATAGACCTCAAAGTCACCTAGCTGGTAAACCTTGAAGTAAATATGTAGTCTATTATGTAAATATGAGGTATACAGTTTAGATAAATATTATTCCAATCAGTAAATTCCATTATGTAGCACTGTATTAACTTAAACTTACTCTTACTTGGAATGTCTATTTGCAAAAAATAATTATTTGTAATGGATGATAATAAAGAATTGCATAATTACAAATTCCAAAATCACCTAAGATTAAAATGTCTCTGGGCTTCAGTTTCTTTTTTATAAAATGAGGGAGTTGAACCAAATGGTCACAAGATTTAACATACTTCCCAATTTAACACACTTCCCTACATTACAATAGTAAAAATATATAATTAAATGTAAATTTAAATTACAGAGATTTACATTTTGGCAGTTCCTCAAAAACTAAACAGAGAACTACCACATGACCCAGCAATTCGACTTCTGGTTATATATCCAAAAGAAGTGAAAGCAGGGACTCGAACAGATACTTGTACCCCAATGTTTGTTGCAGCATTATTCACAATAGCCAAAAGGTAGAAACAGCCCAAGTATCCATCATCAAAGAAATGGATAAACCAAATGTGGTATATATACATGCAATGGAATATTATTCAGCCAGAAAAAGCAATGAAGTTTTGATACATGCTACAACATGGATGAACCTTCAAAACATTATACTAACTGAAATAAGCCAGAAACAAAAGGAAAATATTGTACAATTCCACTTACATGAAATATCTAGACTATGCAAAGTCACAGAACAGAAAGTAGATTAGAAGTTACCAGGGGCTGGGAGAAGAGGGGAATGGCAAGTTATTATTTAATGGTTACAGAGTTCCTTCTTGGAGTGATAAAAGTTTTGGAAATAGATGGTAGTGATGGTTGCACATTGTGAATGTTCTTAAATGCCACTGAATTGTACACCTAAAATGGATGAAATGGTAAATTTTATGTTTATGTTTCTTTATATATTTTACCCCAATAAAAAATTATAGAATTTAAACATTTTTATAGATGAGGAAGCTTAGACATAGTCTATGTGATCCTAGGCAAGTCTCAACCTCTCCAATTTGCAGTTTCTTTATCTATAAAATAAGAACAAAAAAATCAATTGTCAATTCACGGGATCTATAGTGGGGAATCTGCCTAGAACTTGGGGGAAAAAATAAATTCCACGTATGAGTAAAATTATTTGATCAGTTTATAATGCATCAAAGCAGAGATATGCAAGACCACCTATAAAAAAGACTGGCTCCAAGGCCTGCCCAACTTGATTGTAACCAGAGTGAATATATTATCACATCTAATGAAGAAAAAAGTCAATCAGAAGTAAGGCTGAGCACTGCGAGAACCTCAAAAAGTCCCAGTCACAAAGCAGAGCATGGTGACATCTATCCAAGCGCTATCTGGGGAAGAGTGCGAGTCTGGGCCAATGATTTTCCATTTGTACCTCACCTATGGCAAGGCTAGCCACACTGTAAAGATGGATGTGACACTTAAATGCATATCACTAAGTGAAAGAAGCCAATCTGAAAAGGCTACATATTGTATGATTCTAACCATATGACATTAAGGAAAAGGCAAGACTATGGAGACAGTAAAAAGATCAGTGGTTGCCAGGGGTTAGGGAGGAGAAAGGGATGCGTAGGTGGAGCACAGAGGATTTTTGGGGCAGTGAAACTGCTCTGTATGATAGTATAACGGTAGATACACGTCATTATAAATATGTCCAAACTCATGGACTGTACAATACCAAAAAAAAAAAATATGGATGTAGCCAATTAACTTCAAGTGTTCTAATCCCATTGATAACAAGATGTTCATAATATCTATCTCAATATGAGGATATTTCCTAGAGAATGTTATGATTAATCTTGGAAAAAAATGAATAGGACAAGAAACTTAAATATATGCTAATGTAAAAGGTGCTACTCTTAAGTTATTAGTATTTTTATTACTAACAACTGTTAATATTTTGAACACTGAGACACAGGAAGTACTGAAGGAAGTGCTTTACATGTATTGATTCATTTAATCCTCATCCCAACCCCATGGGATAGGGTCCACTATTATCCTCATTTTACAGATGAGGACATTGAGGTACAGAAATTAAGTAACTTGCCCAAGGGCACACAGCTAGAAAGTGGTAGAGCCAGCATTCTCATCCAGGCTCTGAGCAACTATTTTTAAAATACACTAAAAATTTATACTCATCAGTGAGAACAAACTCACAGAAAGTTTTAATTCCAGATACTATCAGAATTTGTCTAATTAATTACAAAAAGACATTTTAGCTAATAAGTATGTCCGTAAAATGTAAACAATGAGAAATTCGGGGCTGATGGGGCAGCAGCGGGGCGGGTGGGGAGGAGGTTGGTGGTCATGGGAGAGGAGAGGCGGAGAATACTACAAACGGCTGAGTCCCGGTTACTGAGTAGGGCTGGTGAGACTGACAAGTCTAAGAGATTGAACGTTTAAGAAGAAGCCTGAGGGCCGGCCGGTGGCTTAGCGGTTAAGTGCGCGCGCTCCGCTACTGGCGGCCCGCATTCAGATCCCGGGCACACACCCACGCACCGCTTCTCCGGCCATGCTGAGGCCCCGTCCCACATACAGCAACTAGAAGGATGTGCAACTACGACATACAACTATCTACTGGGGCTTTGGGGAAAAAAAAAAGGAGGAGGATTGGCAATAGATGTTAGCTCAGAGCCGGTCTTCCTCAGCAAAAAAAAAAAGAGGAGGATTAGCACGGATGTTAGCTCAGGGCTGATCTCCCTCACAAAAAAAAAAAAAAAAAAAAAAGCAGCAGCCTGAAAATCCAACCTAACTCTTTGACTTTCTCCAGATAAAAGCCCTCAAATCATGGCCCTGATTACCAGCCACATCCATCCCTGGAGTGAATACTTGGAATGTCTATGTTCCAACAGTTACTTATTCTTATAAAGGAGGATATTGGGATAAAGAGGATATCAGGAGAATGGCAGGGTAGCTGTTTGATACCATTATCATCTCTGGCTCTCACATCCAATAAATCAGCATCTGGTATTATAATGCTCAATCTAATTAGCTCACGTGGACGGATTAGGGAGAGCCAATATAAACTTACTCCGTCATGAATTTCTCTAGTTAGCTCAGAATCCACACAGGACAGATGCACCAGGCTGTCTTCCTCCATTAAACCTAAAGTCCATCTGACTCTGCTGGTTCTGATTCCCTGTTCACCACAACATTCTAACTATTTCCTAGCCTCCTACCTGCATCTTCCTATAGGGCAAAAATGTAATTCAAGTAATCTAGACCAGGAATGTTTTAGTAAATTCTACCTTAATATATCAGTCTTATAAATTTAGTTAAATGAGCGACCCATAAAAGAAGCATCTGCTTTTGGCTTGCTGAAAAAAAACAAGCCTATGAGACTGGACCAAACCTTGGGCCTAGGTAGTGAATATCATCCTGCATCCCCTGCAAGTATTCCTACTCTTCCTCCCTTCATGCTCTGCGTGGTTTTCTTTCTTTTTTCATGTAAGAATTATCTGTCAGGGTAATTGCAAAAATTAAATGAGATAAAGGTGATTGTGTTTACCACACTTACTGGCACAGGAAAGATAAATGTTCATTTTTCCCCCTACACTTACCTCTAGACTTTATTAACCCTGATTAAAAAGTTAGCAATCAGGGGCCGGGCTGGTGGTGCAAGCGGTTAAGCGCGCACACTCCACCCCAGCGGACCGGGGTTCGCAGGCTTGGATCCCAGGTGCGTACCAACACACCGCTTGTCAAGCCGTGCTGTGGCAGGGTCCCATATAAAGTGGAGGAAGATGGGCATGCATATTAGTCCAGGGCCAATCTTCCTCAGCAAAAAAAGAGGAGGATTGGCATCGGATGTTAGCTCAGGGCTGATCTTCCTCACACACACACACAAAAAAGTTAGCAATCAGAAAACTGTATGTTCACCCTAGATTAGAGTTTATTTTATACAGTCGACGAGACCACTCCAGTCTGATGATTTCTAGGGCAAACAACTTTCTTCTACTTCTTAGACATGGAAAAATAGACCATTTAGTTCAAGAACATATTAGGGTGTGACAGGAGGGAAAGGGCTCCTAAGAAAGAGCTATGAGAAACCAAAAGGAGTAAAAAAATAATTCCTACAGATAAAAAAGCAGTTTTAATAGAAAAGCTATATAACTTACTCGAAGGCCAAAGTCAGAAAGAAAATTAGTCTAACACATTGTAAACCACATTAGAATGATACACTGAGCCATTACTATGATTACAAATGTAGTATCAAAAGAACAAATGGCGAATATTATAAGGAGCAGTAAAAATGTTTGGGCTGATTGTCTTGAAGTGACCTTCAAGAGTGGGCAAATTGGTGGTAAAATCCATTTTGAAGGTCACTTTCTTTTGTCATATTGTTATTGTGAAACTACCCAATTTTTGCAGAACTTCTCTCACTTGAGCCAAATTAAGAATACAAAACAACTAACATAAAGAAAGTTCTATTTCCTGTTAGTCTGCATTTTTTCTGGCTGTGGCTGAGAAAGCTGAAATTTTATGTTGCAATGACTGTTTTCCCCTTTCAGAGTACCCTGGTGGCTTTGCTGACAGCCCACAGCTGCCTTAATCTTTCCTGCAGGTGAGTATACAGATGACACATATAAACCACATTCACCATCAGGATGAAAAGAACAGTGTATACATACCTCGTTCAAATTTTAACCGCTGATAAAGCTGAAACTGATCCACAGGTACCAAACAGGCAATCTGAAACCAGAATTAGAAAGATGAGATTTCAGTCATCACAGAGCCTCGAATTACCAGCCTTTTATGACCTCTCCTTCTTGTTTGGCTTACTGAATCCTCTCCATACCAGTTGTTTGCAAATTTCTTTTTCTCTACACTGTTCATGCAGTAACACAAGCAGCAATTCCCAAACCATCCCCAATCCTCTGCCGCGGCTGGGAGCCGCTGCTCATGGCACCATTCATAGAACTCACTGATCACCTTCCATTCTTTTATTAGCGACTACTAAGGCCAGACAACCCAATTTTTGGACTTCCCAAATCATTTGTGTATATGTACAAAAGATGCTCCTTTTCTCTCTACACTCATTTAAGAAACTGTAAAATGATTAGGTTCTAGCTTTAGAACCCTTAAAAGTAAAGTCAGGCAGATAGTGCCTCAGGAATTATGAAAATTTCATTAGTCACCTAGGGAATAATACCTTCTAAGTATTATTAAAATCATTTCTTCTGACCAAAAATAACTTCTTCGGGTCCTTGGTTATCACTCACTGCCATCCATGTCCTGGGAGAAAAGAAATACCTAAAATATTTCTTGTGGCTAGACTCCCATTTCCACTTCAGACAGTAATATGAACCAAAGGTTTACTAGTAAACAACAATGATTCATACCTAACCAAATGACATTTCAGATTAATCATTTTTAAATTACATTTCAAAGGCAGATGCAGGAGAAGCTAACTGCTCTTAAACTGGCATTCTAAAAATAGTAATTCCGTTGACGTCAACATATAAGTATATTGATGTTGCTTAAAAGATTTATAACTGAGAAAATCAAAGGATCTGATATTAGGCTTCCAGACATTCAACAAGTTGATACAGGACACAGTCTTAGCCTTGGCAATTACAACTCTAAAGCATTACATATTTTTTGGTATAAAATATATCTAGATGAAAGTTCTTGCAACTGATAGAAGGAAGTCTGCTTTGAGAAAACCGGAGTAAAAAAATGAGGCAGCTAAAACCGTACTTAACAAATACAATATACTTTAAAAGGTATTCAAAATCTACCCCTCCCTCTCACAAAAAAATACACGTTTATTTTGCAAATGAATTAAACTAAATTAGCTAAAATGTACGAAGAACCACAAAACAGGCAAGTTCAGCCTTCTCTATTCCGAGAAAAATATGGTAAAACATAAATTTAATTTAATTATAACATTTTACTCCAGCTGGGGAGAAAATGATGCATTTTCATCTGGCACCTTAAATAAAAGCTCCTTAGCAATCATTGTAAAACATTATAGTTAATTTTATATGATATGTATTTTATGATAATTTTTTTAAAGTATGGTTAGACTTTTATTATACTGAAAGCAAGTTTTGTTTCATCTGTTATAATGATACCCGGACATCTTTCCTGAAAGACAATGGTGTCTCAAATAAAATGCAGAGTTGGAGAGAAAAGGTCCAGGCAAGTGAAGGGATGGGAGCATTAAGGAATCAGAGTTCGGTTCCTGACTTAGTCATTGATTCATTGTAGATGGACAACAAAAGATCTAATACTACTCAACTTGTGGGCCATGGTGACTTGGGAGGTGATACCATCTGGGCCCGAGAGATCTCAGTGATATTCTATAAGTCTATTTTTAACACTCTTCCCCGCAAAAAGCCATTTGAGGTCTTTGATTCTGTGGGACAGTCCTGTACCCTACTTGCCCCCATCTAAACTAGTTTCTGGGCTGAAGACCTTTTCCAACCCCTCAAGGTCAATCTCTAAAAATTCTGATTTTTTTCAATGACAAGTAATTTATATAACAGCTAAGTCAAATGCAGTTTACAGAAGACAAAGCAAACAGGAGATAAGATATTTTAGACACAGATGAAAAGCTAATGAGAAAAATGACAGAAATTAATGCAGTAAAAAGTCAACAACAGTAGAGATGGATGTTTAATTTTAAATTAGAAAGATAAATTTCATCAGAGGACACATCGCCAACAGGGAAGTCAGAGGTCTCTAATTTTTTTTTTGTCTCTTACTCCACTTTGAATCTCCTATTTATTATTTTATAGGTCAAAGGTTTATACGGAATTAAGCCTTAATAAGGTAAATCAATTTTTCTATTGAAATTTGTGATCACAAAAGGTTCTGTCACTTCTGACTCTGTTTGATCCTTTTGGAGTAAAGATAACCCCCAGAACACATCATTCTCTTCCCCAGCCCCCACCACATAGACTTGCATCTTCTGTGTATACTTGACATCTACTATGAGTAAAGCACTGACTGGAAGCTTGGGGACACATGTGAGGACAGGAGACACAGAAGCTGCCTCCAAGGAACTTAAATTACTCAGAAGGCAAGAAATACATATAATTTTTTTTTTAAATATCTATTCCTCCATCTTATCATTTGTTGGATTTCATAGATGAGACTAATTTTCTGAGATGTTTCTATTACACCTTTGGCTTTAGACGAGAAAAAGCTGGACCTGGTAAAAAAGATAATCCAAAGTGTTAAATTCCTGGTTCCACGGCCATTTGGAGCTAAGGCACTATCGCTCAAGATCTTCTACAATTTTAAAATTGAAATAAATGTGTTAGGATGCTTATTGAAGGCTCAATGAGGCCACAGGTTAAAGGGCTACACCTTTCTAAAAAAAACAAAACAAAACAAAACACAAGGACTCTAAAATTGATTACAAAACTGAAAATCCTAGAGAATAATAGAAGAGATTATAAAGAGGTGTCTTGTGGTATACAATTATCCTCTTCCTGCCAACAAAAAAATTCAAAATTATACCAGAACATTCCTTTTTAACTTTATTTTGAAACAATTTTAGACTTACAAAAGTTACAAAAATCGCTCCTAAATCCCATTCTCCCATCTTCTCCTAATGTCAACACCTTATATAACCATAGTTAATTATAGAAATAATAAAATTTACATTGATACAAAATAATTAAACAATCTGCAAGCCTTATTCAAATTTCACAAATTGTTGTACTAATAACTGTTTTTTAGTCCAAGATCCAATTTGGGAGACCACCTAGCATTTAGTTATCATGTCTCCTTAGCCTTCTCCAATCTGTGGCAGTTCCTCGGTGTCTTTGCCTTTCACGACATTGACATGTTTGAAGAGTCCAGGCTGTTTATTTTGTACAATGTTCTCCAATTTGGGTTTGCCTGATGCTTTCTCATAATTAGGTCGAGGCTGTACATTTTTGCTAAGAATATCCCAGAAGTGATGTTGGGCCATGAGGAAGTACATGAGGACAACCTGTTCCATTACTGGTGATATTAACTTTTTAACTTGGTTAAGGTGGTATCTGTCAGATTTCTCCACCTTTTGTAATCAACAAGTATCTTGTAGGGAGATATTTTGGGATTCTGCAAATATCCTGTTTCCCATCATACCTTTGTCCACTAATTTTTGTATCTATCGATAATTCTTGCCTACAGTAATTATTACTGTGGTATTTGCTTAATGATGATTTTCTATTTCCATCATTCATTCTGTATTTGTTAATCAGAATTCTACTGCAAGGAAGAGCTGTCCTTTCTCCCCCATTTATTTGTTTATTCATTTATTTATTTAGGTCAGTGTGGACTATTGATATTTATTTTATTCAGTGGGTTCTAATCCATTACTAACCAAATCTATATTCAAGCAGTAGAAACAAAAATTTCTAAATATCTTCTCAACTGTCAAGAGACAACTTCCCTCAGATCAACTACTAAAAAATCCTCAACTTGATTTAAAGTGCTTTTTTGCTATTTCTCATTTGAAATTTGTACTAATCTACCTTTTAAACAAAAATTTCTCTCTCCTTCTATCCAAGCATAAAAGACTACTTTTCCTCCTCACCATCATTCTAGAAATTCTTTCCAAAAAGAAAAAAAAGTTTAATTCAAAGAGAAAATAAATTCAGTTTCATTTTAATAGAACAAGAGCAATAATACCAGAACAACAAAAACAAAAAGCTACTAAGTGCTGAAAGTCTGCTTTTCCATCCCACTCCACCTATAGCAGAGCATAACCAGGAGATCCAGAATATCCGTATATGTGGGGATGCTGTACTGTTATACATAACAGTTAACTGGATATATCTAACATCCACAACTGAGAAGAAATGAAAAGTGAGGCACATCCTTGTCTACCACTGTTAACTATGACCATATTTGAGTAGGCATCACCACCTACATTGACAATAGCCCTACAGAAACCAAACAAAAAAAGAGGGTAGAGAGTGGAGGCCTGCTTGCCAGAAAAGCATTCATGATGAAAGTGATGTGTGTTCCCACAATATTGATAAATACGATACACGCTGTCTTTTCGTTAGCAAAATTAAATGGTTAAAACATAGAAGCTAGGGATTGGCTTCATGTAAGCACGACCTATCAAGGTCTGGAAAGCCAGGGCAGGAGGAAAAATAATAAAAAGGCCTAGACTTTACTTAGGTTTGGCCCTTTAAACCATACTTCTGCTACAGTTGCTTTTAAAAATTAAAGAAACAGGCTGAACAAAGAATACAACAGATCACTATATTTGGAGAGGGAATTGACCACTGGTAGATCATCACAGCATGTCAAGATTTTGGCAATTTCTGAGGTACTATGACTTGCAAAAATCCTGGCAAAAGAAATAGTACTAGCCTTACTTACTTAAGTGTCTTATCATACTAATACAGAAACTAAGAATGTTTCCTATCTCAACCCAGAAAATAAGAACTGCACTTTCTAACAGAAAAAGAAAAAAGCCACATTCACTCATTCACCTAAGAGTAACAAACCAAGCTCAAGTCTCCTTACCTCACACCAGACATCAAAAGCTGGTTGAAAAAACAAGAGGGCATCATGGTCTGAGAGCCAGAAGGCAGAGCCCAGTGGTGAAGTGAAAGATGGCAGAGACCCGGAATCCCAGGGCCAGGAATCCTTTCCACAGTTCCCTGCAGAGGGCTTTTCTTGTTCTTCTTTTTTCACCTGTTCTACAGAGGCCTCACTACATCTTCCCACATCATCCCCTGCCTTTCTCCCTCGGCTCGTCTATGGGTAAAAGGGATACGTCCATGTGCACATCCATGTGACACATTCAACCCATCACTGCTTAGTCTTCTTATATTTGCCTTTAGTTAAAGAATCAGCTTAGAAACATTATTCTCCACATACACGCATTTTTAAAACAAAGTTTTAAATATGTTCTAAAACAATATTCAGCTGGGAACCTCAGAAATATCTACTAACTCTGTCATAGGAGATTCCTTTATCCTTCGCCACTGCAAAGTTTTACTCTTCTCCAGCCAACACACACTGCAGCCAAAGGTTATTACAGACACACTCAGTCCCTTCCCATTCAGATCCTTAAACCATAGCAACAGGAATATGGCCACTAGCCTGGGCATCCTCATCCTTCCTCTGCCCCAGCTTCACACTGTGCTAATGGGAAGAAAGAGCGTTAAAAGAAGAGATGGCAAGTGGAGGCAATGTAAAGGGTGATTTGGGGGGAACATTTGGATCTCCAGCAGCCTTTACCTTTCAAAGCCACCTTTTGCAATATGAGTAAAAACTGTGTTTATTTTGCAAATGTAGCTTCAAATTCCTTAGCACCCCCCCACCACCACTCTATCCTAGTCCTCCACAGTGCCCCACCCTAAGTCCCTTCCTATAGAAATTCTGGAGCCCTACTTCTCGGCAAGAGCAGCTGCACCCATCCTTCCTCTGGTGCACGCTGTGGCACTGGCAGTAAAATGAGGCTGGTCATTTCAGTGCCCCAGGACTTGGACGGAGAACGACTGAGTGAAAAGCTGTTCCCTGCCCTCCACTGCCAGCTGGCCCTGGGAAGAAGTTCAATTTCTCAGGCCACGTAATGGTAGGTATGTGACACTCAATTTCCACACGGCCCAGACAAATGGTCCAGGCTTTCCCAGCAAGTGATGGTATGCCACTTCCCTAACACTGTAAGGGAACTGTTTAAATTCATCATCACCTTTTTAACAGTGCTACTAACTTCACATAAAGGCCTTGGCTGAAGCAATGCTATCAGAACAAACAATCCATGTGCTGCCTTTCATAATTCCACGTTGGACAAGATTCCTGGATCAAGTACATTAGACAAGCCCTGCAGAGCAACAGCTGAAAGTACCAGATGACGCAAGAAAGGAAAGTTTTCCTTTTCCCTGGCTCCCAGTGGGTGCACCTCTAGCCACAGGTCCTCCAGAGTCACCACCTCCGTCAGCTTCCAGGACACTGAAGGGAAGCTGCCTTTTTTACTGTTTCCTACATTAAGCAAACAGTACTTGAATTGAGCATTAAATGCTTTGCTAATGAAGCTATCCCTAATAAGTAAAAGTTAAGAGGCAGAGCCACAGCTGAGCCAACTTGGAAGCACTAAGAAGGCAGGCAAGACCTAAAGCCTGCAGGAGACAGACACATGGAGCACAGCCAACCATGGGAGCTAGACCTACGCAGAAAAGCATTCAGAGGAAAGAGCTTAATTCCTGGTGTTCTTTGAAGATGAAGAAATATTATGCTTACATGCATTTTATAAGACAATGAACGATGAGGAACTATATATTGTAATATAAATAGCAGCAGCACAAAGGGAACTTGAGCCTTAACCAGAATTACTTTTATCATGCAAAGTATATTTATGTGTTACCTGTATAATTAAACTTTTTTTAAAAGGGGGAAGAAGTCGTCATAGAGAAGAATCCAGTCAAGCATAATGTGGAAAAGCCCCATTGTGACGTACTCAATAATATCTAGATTAAGAGCTATATATTAGAACAATAGCTAGATAGGAGGAAAGTTTGACATAAAGCAAGTCAGAGGGCAGATGGTCCAGTCAAGTTCATGTGTACGTGGCATTTGCTTTGAAAGGAGTCCCATATAAACTGATGATGCTACCAATATCTCCAATATAATCTTCTATTCATTTCTCAATTCAAAATGAGAAACAATCACCACCACCGTCACCACATTTTTTTACTCTGAAAAAAAAAATAGTGGCAAGTTGGTTGAGAACACTTGATTACTGTCCATACACGGCCATCTTCAGTCAGGGTCTTCGCAAGACCAATGAGAACAGAAGTTCCCTTTAATGTCCTGGAGTGTCTTCTTACCGATCTAATGGGAAACAGACTTTGGAGAATTTAAGAAATACCGTAGTTTAGTTTGGAATACACTTTTGGTCTGTTGTTTCAAATATCCTTTTGTAATTTTTAAGAGTCATTATAGGTTTGTTTTGGTATTAATACAGCCTAAAAGTAAAATTGTTTTTAGAGTCAAACTGCGTAAATGGAATCAGAACTAAGAAAGTGTGAATGAGAATGTGCACGATGAGAAGAGGGTAAGGATTCAAAAGGAGAGAAGAACTTCAGGGGAATATGAAAAGAAAATGTCTACACTAAGAAAATCAGAAAAGTTAAACTGTTCTAGAGAACTGTGAGACAACTATGGCCTGTCTTCACTCACTTGTCTGAACACATTAGCCCTAACGTTTGATATCAAAATGTCCATGGCTAATGGCTACCATTCATTTAAAAGTCTAGAAAAATACGATGCAATTGAACTTTCTGCAATGATGGAAATGTTTTGTTCTATGCTGTCCAGTCTGGGAGCCACTAGCCACATGTGGCTACTGAGCACTTGAAATGCGATTAGTGCAACCAAAGGAATGAATTTTTAATTTTATTTAATTTTAATTAATTTAAATGTAAATAGCCATATGTAGCTAGTGGCTTCCAGATTTGACAGTACAGGTCTGGAATATATAGGACTGTGATTAATTTCAAAGGCTTGTTTTGAAACTTCACCAAACTATTCATTTCATTTATGTTTAAAAGATTTTGGATACATGAATTAAATAAGATTTCATACCAGACACAGCTCTTGCTGTCTGCCCCATCTCACGCTCTTCGCTTTTATAATTACCTGACTTGTTAATCAGTTTAATGTCTCTCTGCTGGATCAGAAGCTCCATGCCGATAGCACTGGGCCTGTCTTACTCAACTCTGTATCCTGGTCTAGAATATGGCCCAGCGCATTGTGCACTTTTTTTTAATTGAGATATAATTGACATACAACATTGTATTAGTTTTAGGTGTACAACATAATGATTTCATATATATATGATGGTGCACTCCTAATAAACACTTTGTGACTGATCAGACATCAGAAAAGCGAGTCAAAAAGGAAGCATCTTTCCTGAAAGGATTATGCATAGAAAGATGCTCCTGAATACCTGAATCTCATTTTAAAAACCATTTTCAAGTTATATAGATCAACAGTGTTCTTGGTAGCTAACATACTCTTTCCCCACCTTAATTTCCTTCTACTCACTACTCACACAAAAGTAAACAATATTTCTAACCATAGGATTTACATATTCAACATTACTTTTTTATCAAAAAAAATTCATTTTATGATTTTCTTAAAATGAATACTTCTAAATCATTATGTATTCCTTTTATTCTTCCCTAAAAAACACTTCAAGCTTGCTTGTAGCACTAAATGATATTCCATAAGCTGAATATAGGACACCCAGACACAGATTTGTTAGAAATGGTCTGTAAAATTTTTCTGACTGCTTTCCTTTCAAAGCAAAGAATATATATGTAAAAGCATATATATTTGTAAACAAAGCATGTGTGTGTATATATACATACACACACACATACACAAGCTATTGAGCTTCTAACTATCAATCCTTTATAATGCATTCTATCTACCTAGCTCTACTCTTAAAGTCATGTAATTATGGTGGTCAGAAAGAACCGGATTAGAATTCTAGCTCTTCTGCTTTTTAGACATGCACTCTTGGGTAAATTACTTAAACCCTCTGGACCTCAATTTCATAAGTCTGTTGAAAGGATTAGATGCTATACTGGCTGTAAAAACAATCGGAAGAGTGCCTGGCACACAGCACGTGTGCCATGTTTGCTGATTGAATAACTTATTTCATGTCTTTCTTGGGACCTCTTCCAGAGGCTTACGAGCTCCCTAAGAATGGACAAGAGTTGGTTATCTTCTGATTTAAAGCAAGCAGGATCTGAAGATTAAAAGAAGATTTAAGGGCAAGCTACTGATTGGGGATTGAAGAAACAAATAAGAGAGATATATCATAGTCTTAAGAAAACGGGAGAAGAGCTCATTTAAAAAAGACATTTCTGATGCCTAATAAAGATCAAATGAAAGGCCTTTCTCTACTCTTTGGAAATGGTTCATCTCAGGCTAGAATCACAACAGTTTATAATGGCTATAAGTGTGGCTAATCTGTCATCTGTTTATCTTTAAAGTATTAAAGATCATAAGACCACCCACTATTCAACCCCCAAACCTCACATTTGGTAAATTAAATTTCTAGCACCTTTGCCTATTCTAGAGCGTCTTCAACACTCAGATAGCATTTATAAATAGAACTGAGGTAAATAACAACTTTAACAGTTTGTATAAAGAAGCCAAAGGTATGTAGCAATAAAGTACTCCTTTAAAAAATTACCCTCTGTATTTTGTTTCTAGACTCCCTGGGAGAGAAGTACATAAAGAGTCAAGCTCCTAGGAAACAATATCAACAGGAAAGAGGGGAAGATGATGGCATTCATCATACCTCAGCTTCCTGCAGGGTCCCGTGGTTTAGGCACACCATGTCAGGACAAGTGATAGGAGACCCACATCCTTCTCGGATTGCCAGCTGCATGTACTGTTTCAGGCACTAGAAAGTTAAGAAGAAAAAAGACAATTATCCTCTGTATTACAGTAGCACAAAAGTTACATAATCACCACTGCCTCTTCTTCCTTAATTGGCAGTCTTGGGGCTCTTGTACTCAGGAAATATAAGTGATCACAAGCGTGAATACTAAGAGCCATCACTTTGGAAAGAATGTAGAGACAGGAGATTAATTATGTATGACTTCATCCTAAGAATATTGAGTTTATTCAGGGCAACAAGTCAAATTCCTGTGTGCTCACACATTTTATCCACCATAGACTGGGAAAAGAAGAAACATTCTTTTGCACTAATGGCAAAGCCTTCTTTTTACTTTTTTTTTTTTTTTTTTAACATATGTGACTTCCCAGTTCCATTTTTACTTAGTGGTCCTCTCCCTCAAATTTTGCCCAAAAGTAGAATTCTGTGATTTCTCATGCTGAGCTAGCCAAATGGAATCCAAATAAGATTAAGGCACTGACTTATCTAGGAACACTCTTAACAGCAAATATACCTGAAAAAGATAATGTCAGAGACAATTTGGGAGAAGGAGACCTTCCCAAAATGAAAGGCCTTAGTGGATGAGGTGGTTGGGTAGAATGTGGGGAAAGAAGAAACTAGATAGGGAAAAAGAAACCCAGACAGGAGAGGAAGATAACAGAGGACAAACTTGGTCTACCCATTGCCTGTTGCACCTGGATCTTAGGCAGTGGGTGGAGATGTGAGTGAGACTGAGAAGGTAGGAGAGAGACTGACAGCATTATGGAGACCTCCAACTCCTCCCTTCTCCCTTCCAACCCACCCCCTTCACAGGAAAGTAAAGGCCATAGTTCCAGAAGATAAAACTCTTAAGAAATCCAAAAGTTGGCTTCTTAATTTGTACTAATTTGCTCATAATTGGTGAGCTCTTTTCTGTATGCATGATGAAAAAGAGTCAAGCTCAAATGTTTGAGGAGGACACCCCAAAAATACATAAGCTAGTCAATGAATTAATGACTCTTATGAAGTGATGATTATTTATAATTGGGTTCAAATTTTTCAAATGTATACATTTGTATATCAACCTGCTACATTAAAAATATTGCTGTTGCACCAACCTTTTATAAAAGCTCAACAACTAAATAAAATCTATGGTCAGAATACCAATGACATAATTGTGAAATCTATTCCTTTCATTAATCATCTTTATTCATTTTCCCCATCAGAAAAATACAACTAATATCACAATTGTATTATTTCAGAAAAACCATCATTTATCCAATGGAAATTACTGTTACAATGGACTAATAACTCAACAACTAGGGCAAACCATTTAAGCCAGATTTGTATCTATTTGAGTACTTAATAATTCCCTTCTCCAAGGAGTCACTTTTTTTTCTATGATGTTCATCACAGGAAAAAAAAGAAAAAAACAGAAAATTACCTAAATATCCAACATAGAGGAAGACGTAAATAAATTATGCTAAATTCACGCAATGGAATGCTGAAGAATCATGAAAAATATTTTCAAATGATGTGTAAAGACATGGGAAATGCTCATGATTTAGTATGCCTGAGGGAATAAAACATGATTTCATATGAATTGGAGAATGAAAGATATGTGGGAGCAGGGTCTTCTTAAGTCACTCTTCCACTTCAGTTAACTGCAATACAGATATATTTTAACTTGCACTTTCTAGTTCAAGAGAGGGTACTTGCTCTAGGAGTTACTGTACCAAACGGTCTCCAGCACTGGGAAGAACAGTAAGTAGAAGAGAGCAGCAGCAAGGAAATGTGGAGAAGAATCTCAATGCGCAGGCAAAACTTGAGAGGAACAGCTCACAAAAAGGAGTGTCACACCAAGGGACAAATGAGTGAATGATGTGAAGAAGTGTCTATCCTGCTCTGTTCCTGAGGACCTCTCAGCCTTCCATCTGCCACACACATCCTAGTGTTACTGCCTTGATCTCCCAGCTGCCACTTGAAATTTAAGGAGAAAGACTCTGAAATGTGTGGTCTCCAGGCTCAAGGGGAAGGTATCTGAGGAAAAGAAAGTGAACTGTGCAATGAAGGTCAAATCCTAATATCTGAGCTCTAGCCCCAGTGCTACTCTGTCAGGTGACAACGGGAAAATTAAACTATGATCCAGACTTGCTTCCCTTAACTTTTAAAATAGGGACAATAATTATGGGGACAATTTCTGCTATGGTTACCTCACAGTTTAAAACACTCACAGACACAAACACAAACCTGGAATTTTGTATAAGGAAGCTCTTTGAACATTAGCAAATTGCAGAATATTTGGTCATATTTCTACTCCTTGTCACCTGGCCTTAGATTTTTCTATCTAAACTTTGTGGGGAAATGTTAATCCTTTGACATTCTGGGATTATCCTTTTTCTCCACTACCTTCAGGGGACCAGTTAAACCACTTGTGGTAGAGAAGCTCCATAAACAGAGCAGATATTTGTAACTGAACATCACACACACCTCGATTCAAACCTCTCCTTAGAACTATTTGCATCTATAGAAAAAGCTTAGTTAAATAGGAACTAAAGAGACGATGTGAGTCTTTACAGTCAAAAAAATTCATTTCAACTTATATTGCAAATGCGTAAAGTTGAAATTTCTAAGCTTTCTCAAGAGTTTATAATGAATGTTCTATTTCTAATGTAATGTCCTTAGGTACACCGCTACCACAATACACAAACCCAATGAATTTTGAAGCTTTCCACAAGGACTCGCCTGGCCACGATATGATGTGACCCATGATTTTAGGAGAGAAGTTAGAGATGTATACACTGACTACGGGGTGTAAGTCTATAGACCCCATATGCCCTCCCCCTCTTTTTTTAATTCTAAGAAACAATGGTTCAAGATAGAGTAAGTACAAGTTGCTAAGGAATGGTACAGCACAGGCACTTGACACTCCATCACTATGGGCAGGTACTTCTATTCAAAGACAAAGAGGGAAGACAACCAACTCTAGTTATTGCTTCTTATTGAATTTCAAGTACCTTAGGTTCATTATATGTCTTCCATTAGCTTTCACTAAAGATTTAATCTCAAACCCTCCCTCTCTTCTTCAATACCTCTGGCTAAAGCACAAAAGAACTGAAAACATTCACATGAAACCTGGTACATGTTATACAAATCGAACATAAGTAAACGGTTAAGAATTCTGCAAGGAACTGGCATCTAGCTTGTAAATAAAGACAGAGAAATACAGAGAGAAAAAAGAAAACAACCATCATTTAGTCACATTAAAAAAAATACATTCCATTAAACAATAGCATTAAACAGATGTCTAAATATGCAATTTTCATAATAGCTAACAAATTCTAAGGGAGATGTTTCAAATAGAACATTTCAAAAATCCTGATGACCCAAGAAAGAAAAAAATTACTTTTTCTTTTGAATAGTCAACATTTCATGCAATTAGTTTGGGAGAACACAGAAATATTTTTAGGCCATGGAGGGTCATGTATAATAAAAAGGATTGTTCCTCAAAATCACTCCACTGCCCTCAAGGATTCAGATGGGATATAACCAAGGATTTAACCATCAAATACCTGGGAAACCAGATGACTTGTATTGTCTCTTCTAACCCTGAGAGCCTATGAATTATGTACAATGGAATATTCCCAGAAAAGGGTTTCTCCTAGACCCCTTTCAGGCATGTTATTTTCCAGTGTATCAAAGGGCTTTCTTCACAGGGTTCTCATCTATTAGGTGGACAAGGCAAAAGGGCTACAACATTCAGACAAAACTGCTACGTATCCACCTAAGAATGACATATGTATATATATATGTACATATATATATATACGTATATATATATATATATATATATATATATATATTTACTATACTGTTGCTCATTTCCCATCACTAGATTATACCTTTCTTAAGGGTTTTCTCTAAGGAAAAAAAAGCATTATAATGAATCATTGACGGGACTGGATTCTTATGATCAAGGTAGAAGTACAAGTTCTAAAGTCCCCTCTGCATCTTGGGCAAGTCATTAATCTCTCTCATTACAGCACTCTCAATGATAAAATGGGATAATACCACCTGCCTAGACTAACCTCAGAGAAATGAAGAGTCCTCCATGACGGTAAATACGCAAAAGTACTCTGAAAAGTGAAAAGAGGTATGCAAATGTAAAGTATAACTGGAGAATGTAGTAGATGTTTCTGAACTACAGGCAGGCATGCAGAAATGAAAGTTCTCAAAGCCATGTGACCCCTGGAGATCAGTCTCCTGAGGGTGGGGAGGGGAGGTAAGAGGAGAACAGGTATTGTTAAGAGAAAGGAGGTAATGGATGCAATTAGTTGAAAGTTTAAATTGATCCCCAGGATCTCGGCTGCTTCTGGGTGCAAGTGCTGGGGTTCCGAGGTCAAAGAAGACTGGCAGCCCACCTGGTTTGAAGCTGGGTTGGTGAACTCTTGACCTAGGGTTTCTCATCCTTAGCTCAGCCATGGGTGGGAAGAAAGGTGAGGAGGGGGAGAGCACTTAAAGGCCAAAATCCAGACAGGCTTTGAGTGCCTGTTTTGCTTTTTATCATTCCTGGTACAGTGCTGTAGGGTATTTAACAAACAGACTTTTAATAAAATGTAGACTAACACCTCTCTGCCTCAGTATGCAATTACATCACAGTGTCTCAAGTGTGTTCTAAACAGCATCTCATATTGAGGCCAATATTCTAGTTACTCCAGTTTGGACTAGGATCTCTACACATGATCCAAGAATAAAGCCTTCTTTGTTGGATGCTGTTGAGTTAAATTATTAGTACAACTCAAGATAGAATCTCTCCCAATTCAAAAGCCTTTTAACACACCAAAAGCATCCTGGTTTGGAAACGTACAATGATTTGAAAAAATTCAAAGAAATCAACAATCTATAGGTAGGCAGTAAGTTGTTTCCTGGTGTAGTACGATCCTAAAACATTTTCTTACAAAACCCCTTTCAGAAACCTTGGCTTTTCACAAATACGGTACCACTAGTGATGGGATCATCTTCACATC